AATTTTAGTAAATTTAAAACTAAAATTAGATAATTAAAAATAAAAAAAAAAAGAATGAAAAAAGATTTATGCAAATGAAAATTCGTTGAAATTTTGATGAAATTTCAAAAATATTATTTATTCAACAATTTCATTTCATTTATTAACATTCAATGTGCATTTACTATCGTATCATTTCATTTTTATGCTTCAATTATTGTCTACAAACTTAGTGATAAATATGTCAAAAAAAAAAAAGAACAAGCCAAACTGAAATGATACTGAAATAAATTTTATTCAATTTCAAAATACATTAAAATTTTGCAAAAACTATTTTGTATTACGAAAAAAAAGAAAAGGATTGTAAGTGAAAATTTGCAAAAATGAAATTTACAAAAAAAGTAAAATTAAGATAAAAAGAATATGCAAATTCGTATAAATCAAAAGTGAAATTTTAATTTCAATTAATTGTATTAGCTTTTAATAAAAAGTAATATTGTTGAAATTTCAGGTAAGCAAAGAAAAATGCTTTACTCCAATTTTTAAGTATTGGTAAATACTTTTTACAAAAATTTAAAAGAGATGAATTATGCACATTTACCTGTACACCCCATAATGTTTGCCGGATGCACGATCACCGCATATTGCGCAAATGTGCTTTGTGGTAGTTCCATGATTGATGGATGTTGAGGACTTTTGCATTGTATACAGTGTCATATTTGGAGTTGTACTTGAAAGAAAATTTTGAAATATAATTTTTTACAGGAATCGAAATTAATATAATTTTATTTTACAGGAATTGAAATTACTCCATTATATGCTATTTTTTTGATTGAAACCATTAAAAAACATGACTTGCACATCTCATTTTACCATAATCGAAAAAATTTTAATCGAATTAATTTTTGAATGCTAAAATTGATACTGATATTATACAGTAAAATAGAAATGTTAGAGAGTAATTAAAATAGGAAATAAGTTTAAATATTTGAATAGTTAAAATTAATTACAACAAAAAATATTGCCTAAATATTGACCTAAGAATTTGGAGAAAGCAAAAATGCATCCAATGATTGAATTAATTATTGTTTTTAATTATTAAGTAATTAATTATTAAGTAATTAATCACCTGCTAACTTCATCATTTGAAACTGTAAACTCATTTGAACGATCAGTAGTTGGTCGTAAAAGTTGGGCATTTGATTGTAGCATTTGTTCTGAAGAAGAAACACTTTGAACTTGAGGATGGAATTTTTTTAATCTTAAAAAATAAAAGGAATGGGAAAAATTGTAAGAATAATAAGAAATGATTACTAAACAAATAAGTCCTAAAGAAAAACAAAAGATAATCAATGATTAAACAATAAGAGGTTGATCATTTATTTAAATAATTCATTGATATGCAAAAACTACTGTATGATTAATAAGTTAGTAAAAAAAATAATAATTGTTTCAAAATATAACAAAAATTATAATAAATGATTAAATGATCAATAAGGAATGATAGCATATAATAGAAGGTTAGTGATTAAATGATAAGAATTTGATAAGGAATGTTACGCAAATTCCTTTTTTTGACATACATTTTGCCGCCCGTCTAAGGACGAAATCAAAATTGTTTCACGTAGAAGGTTGTGATGTTGACAGATGATGTAAAATGATAATGTTGCATAGTCAATGGAAATGGCGACAACATCGCCTAAATACGATCGCTAATTATATCGCATAAAGGTAAGCAATTATAATTTCGAGAAAGGATAATGGGACGAAATGGACAAAGGTCAATACTTTAGTACCTAAATATGGCTGATAATCTTTTAATAACTACATAATTGTTAATAGAATAGCAAAGAAGAAAGATGAAAGATTAACAAAAAGATGACATAAAATACCAAGATAAAAGATAGATAAAGAAAAAAGAAAAAAAGAAGAGCACCAATCAAAAGTTCCGTTTTTGCTTTTTTTTTTAAAAAAAAAAGAGTTAAGCCAAAAAGTCTAAGGAGAAGAGTAAATCTAAAGTAAATGGAAATGGATTAATTGCGAAGTAATTGAAGAAGTCGAAAAATGAATTATCCAGTAGTTCCATTTAAGCCGCTTTTTTAAATTGAATAAAATTAAAAATTTTATTCTTGCAAAAATGACACAGAATGCTAAATAGAATGATGTCAATCGATAATGGATCGGAAAAAAAAAAACGACGACAAAGTTTTGCTACTTTCATTTAAGTCTATCCGAATGAGAGATATTTTGCTAGATCAATATTTGTATTTCCTGTTTTTTTTTGTTCTAAATAATAAAAAAAAATTATTTTAATTTTCAAAAATAAAAAAATTGAAAAAAAATTAGCAAAATAAACATTAAATTGTAGATGGTTGATAAGATAGAAAAATTTTCTGACAAAAAGAAGGAAGTCGTACGTTACGCTGCTGAATTTTCAACAACCAATCGTTTCATCTTGCATCCATTAGAGGTCAATTTAAACATTTGAACAAAAATTCAATCTAAATTGAAAATCTAGTTTTGAAATTTCATAAAATTAATCTTTTATTTGCAAAAAATTTTCACTGTTAGTAATTTGTAAATTTTCAAATTATACTTTTTGCAAAATATCATATGATCAAAACATTCATCTTTCATTGAGAATATAATGATTCCGTTTTGTTCAAATGCAATCAGAAATTTGAGGTCAAAATTTTATTGTAATATTTCTATTAGAAATTATAATAAAAGAAATATTTGCTATTTTCAAATTTAGTTATTGTTTTTTTTTTTCTTTTTTCAATTATTGTTTAACAAAAATTATTTTATTTACCGCGAAATAATTGAAAAAAAAAATCTGTCATTGATGAATTTACAATTTTTGCAGAAAAATTTCCAATAATTGATGATGGAGCCAAGCAGAATGATTAAGCAAAATAATTTGATAATCTGTACAGGTGATCTGTAATAATCTGTATATCTATCTGATGATCTGTACAGGTGATCTGTAATAATTCTGTATATCTATCTGATGATCTGTACAGGTGATCTGTAATAAT